GGGCAGCCGGCGCCCCGCCCTTGCCTGGGGAAGGACGGGATGGCTCAGCGCCCCCGACACTCGACACTACGCGGGCCCACCCCAGACCCTGCTGCGGGGAAGGCTGAGGGGACCTGGGGCCAGGTGAAATCATCCAGGGGACTTCCTGGGGATGATTTCAATGTCAGGGCCCGCACCAGGAATCTGGAGTCACGAGGGAATCAAAGCGGCGTTTGTCAGGGGGGCCGCGGGCCCTCGCCGCCTTGCTCTCCTGACGGGGCCGTAGTTGGATTCCAGCCAAGGGGGGCCAGGCCACTGCCTCCGGCGGCGCCCCCTGGCTGCCGGCGGCCGCGCCGACGGACCCGTTCGGTAAACCAGGCAGCGCGGCCCACTGGCGGCTTTCCCACAGCAGGCCCCTGGCTACCTGGAGGAGCGAGGAATTACAACGGGCCTGCCCCCGCCCGAGACCCTCTTCTGGGGCGAGAGTACAAACGGATCCCAGGACGGAAAGGGGGAGAACGTTCGCAAGGTGTCACAGGAGCCTATTGCAGCAAATGCCGAAGGGAAACGTGCCCCAGCCTGGCAGACCAAAGCAACCCAAATCAACAGGCCTCCTGCTTCCCGGACGCTTACGACCGCACGAGGCTGGAAATCAACACATCCAAACTGAAGGGGAGGAAATGAGGCCTAAGGGGTGGACAAAGCAGGAGGGGAGGGTCAGCCTGCCTCTTGCTCTCCTTCGGGGCCCTACACTGCAGACTTGGGAGAAACCTGCTCCCCTGGAGCTGGCTGGCTGAGAGAGACAAGGAGGGGAAGGAGAGACCTTCGCCCATCACGCTGCCACCTGGACCTTCTCTGTGCTAATCCTGCAATTGACCCTGGCCAGAGCTAGCCAAAGAGCCAGAAAACATCACCGCTTCCCCGTGGGATGGGAAATGCTCTCTTCCCTCCTTTTCCTGCCCACCTCTCCCCTGCTCCCTTCTGTCTGACGAGGATCTGGCGTGGCTGGCCCAGTCAGCATCTTGTGTAACCCTGCTGTCAGCTTGGGACCAGAGGCAGCTAAAAGCAACGCCGACCCAGCGCCACGTGGGGCCGCGATTACTAGGTCTCAGCGTGACTAAAAACCAGGTGCTGGCCCTGCGCTAGTCGCAGTCAGGTGGCGAGTGAAAAATCAGTACTAGAAACCACAGCATCGGCCCCTAGCTTTACTGTGCTGCTCTCTCCCTGGTCTGTGTGTTTTGGTCTTGTCTTTTAGGAACCAGGGTCGGACTTCAAACAGCAGCAGCAACAGCTCCCCCCCTCTCAACTCCCTCCTCTGTTCCCCCAAAGAACGGCTATTGCCGTCTTTAACCCCATCGCAGAGCCGTGGCCGTGCGTGTCCGTGTGTCCGTACGTGCGCACGTGTCCGTACATGTGCACGTTTCTTTCTAAACCCTCTCTCTGGCTAAAATGAACAAGGGAAACCTCACTGCACCCTGTTCATTTCCAGTGCTTCAGCCCTTCCCTTTTCCTGAGTCTGTATTCCAAAGGAGCTAGGGGTATGTCTACACTACCCCGCTAGTTCGAACTAAGAGGGTAGTGTAGACATACCCTAGGGCTTTGAGGACGCCCCTGCCGAGGCTTCCCACAGGCCGAGGGCTCCGGAGCAGGCCCGGTTTGACGCTGAACGGCGACCGAGTCTGCTAACCCATGACTAGCTGAGCCCGTTTGTTCCCACCTTTGCTCGCAATCGTTCCCTCAAAGAAGCCCTTGGAGACGGTGAGCAGCGGCCAGTTGGTATCCGGCTGCAGCAGCTTTGCGTCGGGGTCAATGTCTGGAATCTGAAAGGAGAGACCGTGGGAAGACGCCCTTGGCTTAGCCTCCCCTCTGGGCAGCCCAAGGGGCCGGGCTCAGCCCAGGCTGGAGCGGGGCCTGTCAGCTGCCTCAGCACCAGCACCCACAGCCCTCCCTCCCCTCCTTTTCCCGGCGGAGCCTTGTGACCAGCTGATCTACTAACCGTTTCCTTTTCTGGGTCAAACGTCTCCTTCAGGCTCTCGGCTTCCTCGTCCAAGCCGTGGGTTGCAGCCGTGAGATAGGCCAGGGACTCTGCAAAGGAGGGAAGGCACACGGCAGAGGGACAGGGGGTTTAGGATCCTGCCTAAACCGCATCATGAGCGTGCGAATGGCAGACGGCTGCAATGTCCCGCTTGGCGCAGAACGCGCTTTACAGGCGAGTTTAGTCCATGCCAGGGCAGACCAGAGTTCGGGGGCAAGCTCAGAGACTCGGTGCCCGCTGGGGAATGGCGATTCACCAGAACTCCGCACAGACACTCCCTTTGCCAGACACGCACTGCGAGGAAGGAGAGGGCACTGGCAGCACACCGGGGCCATCGCCTCATAGGAGGGGCTGTGGGCTCAAGAAAGGAGAGCCCCTATTCGAAGTGCGTAATTGGGAGCCCTATAACTACTCATAGACAAGGCACTTCCTTGTGCTCTGCCTCGGTTTCTCCATCTGCAGTGGTAATGCTGAGCTGCCCCAGGGCACAGCAGGGGTTAACATCTGAGCATGGTCTGAGAGCTTGGCGGGGTCCCACCCAGCCAAGGCGCAGCAGCTAACGCTCCGCCAAGTCCCCCTTTTGCGATACAATTAAACGGGAGACAAAGCCAAGATGCAGGAATGGACGTTTACTGGCTCCTGCCTGCAACCCGCAGGGCCGTGGCAGAC